AGTAATTCTATTTTATCATTTAATTACAAATTGTTTTGTTTGGTAGCTTTGGCTTAGTATTTTATAAAGATTTCATTCATTAACCGTACAAATTATCCGTGGTAAGATACCAGTCAGTATGAACTAGGAAGACATATGTTCGAAGAGAAACCCTGATGTGTTCTTTCACGCAAAACATATAGTTTCTCGTTAAAAAAATTATTTATACCAATAAACTCCCTGATTTAGATAAAAGGAATGAAGCCTTTGTAGTATGTACAGTTACCAGGTCTGGTAAAACATGATGAAAGAACTGCTGCCCGAATATTTAGCACAATAATGTAGCATAATGTGTAAAGCATAACAAAATGGGACTTTTAACTGTATACCTATAATGGAGTCGTGTTAATTGTGGTTGAAAATATGAAGCGACTAAAAGTTTGCCAGGCATTAGATAAAGGGAACTTTGCGAAAGTCAACTTTTCCATTATGCCAGAAAAGTAGAATATTAAGAAGAATAGAAAAAAAATAGTGGATAATAGTGTTTTTTAAAGATTAAAATAGGAAGGGAGAAGAGGTATTGAAGAAGCGTGTGGGTGGACAAAAAAGAAATCGCTATTTGTCTTTTTCCTGTAGAACCCTCAGTCCCCGATTACATTGATAAACGGGGCGCTCATCGAGTGCGGAAGCGGACGTCCTCACTGAATAAGCATTAGCATGAATTAGCAGCCTAGAAAACCAGAAAAAGTCAGGATCCGGCAATTTTGTTCCTTTCTCATGAAGAGAATATCTATGGTTTCAACCTCATCTTCTTGAATTTTCCTCCCGTCTGCCAATCAAATGGCCGTTATACGCAATATCCACCTCGTTAAACTGGCCACCATAGGCGGGAAGCTCGTCAAATGCCTGGCTGCTGGTCGTGCTGTCCGTGTGAATGGACATTAGATCGAACCTGTCCTGTTGCCCAGTCCTCGTTAGTAGTTGGCTGTCAAACGCCGTCAATCGCTGTTGAGGTCCATCTCTACCGGTCGGTTCGGCCTGAGAGGCTCCACCCTCGTAACCGTAGTCGAGTGTGCAGTCAGGCGGCGGACCGATTGGGTCGTGCTCGGCCCTGAGGACGTGAGAAATTAACTGACGACCCAGAGAAGTCTCATCGGCCGGGTTCATGAAGCCGGCCAGACCATAACTGAGGTCATCTCGGTGGTCGATGAAATCTACAGACAAACAGGACACAAACAAGCAGCAAGTTTTTTCAAGACTTTAATAAAAATAACAAGTGAATATTAAAAGAAAATCTGTCTGCCGCAAGAAGAGGTTAGGCTAGACAAAAGGACTGCATTTTAATCTGTTACTACGACGTGACGTGATATATTACATTGAAGTAAGTCTGGGTTGTTCAACCTCTGACTACTGCCGCACTCAGTCGAGACTTGACTATTCAGCAACCGCATCTGTTGTAATACCATCGCTTAATATTTATTTGGTTTGCAATGCTTATATGGTTTAAAATGCATAAGAATGAAAATATCAGGAACATATTTCCAGTTCCCTCATTAATAAAGGCTTTGCAATACTAATCTAAGAAAGATTTTAATTTAGCTTTGTCCCAAGTTTGTACATTCATACATTCAGGTCAGAATTAAGTGGTACTCCACAACCTTCTTTGGCATACTATTTTAAACGTCAGCGAGTATTATATGCCGTTATAATTATTGATATTATTTCATTTAGAAGCGCTCAAGAAGGCTGTACTGAGGCCAAAAAAGAAAAAACATCGATCAATTGCTCTGCATAAACAGCAGAAAGATTTCTCTTCCACCAGTAAGGTAGCATATTTGACCCCTGCC